CAGAAAACAGGGCAAAAGAGCAGGAAAAATGGTTTTGGAATTCCTTATCAAACATGCCTCACTTTTTAAGTGAATGTAATGTGGTCAGTATGAATCAAAGCTTGTATTAAGAACTGGAAAGATGTCAACATTTATCCCCCTTTTCATAGCACATCATACAAACAGATTTATTATTTGAAGTAGTGGTGCCTTGACTTACGAACGTCCCTACTTACGACCAGCTCCGGCCACAGAATTTTGCTTCTACTTGTGACCAGAGCTTCCACTTATGAACAGAAAAAGGGGGAGGCGGGAAATTCAAATTGCAAACTGTAGGTGGTGACAAGGCTGCTTTTTGTAGCTCTTTTGCCCCAGCAGTTAGAGAGAGAGTGTCAGAGGAGGCGGCTTGGGACTGCCTCCTTCTGCTTCTGAGCGAGTGTGTGTGTGTTTGCAGGGAGGCTTCGGGCTGCCTGATAAGGTAAGGTGCTGTTTTCTGCTTTTTAAAAACTGTTCAGGGCGTTTTTGCAGCATGGGGGTTATGTTTCTGTGCTGTGATGGGTCTTGGCCGGTTTGTTTTTTTTGGTTCCCCCCATTTCCAATGGGTCTTGGGGGGTTTGTTTTTTGGGTTTCCCCCCTATTTCCGATGGGTCTTGGGGGTTTGGTTGCTTTTTGGGTTTTTTCCCCATTTCTGATGGGTCTTGGAGGTTTGGTTGCTTTTTGGGAGGGGTTTCCCCATTTCTGATGGGTCCTGCATGCTTCCCTAGCTTTTTACTTTGTTTTCTTTGCATTTCTGACCTGCCCCCTTTGTTCTCTGTGCATTTCCCATGTACTCAATTTGTTTTCTGTGCATTTCCAATAAGTCTTGCATGCCTAATTGCTTTTCTTCCCCCCCCCCCTTCGGCCAGAAGGGATTAATCGCGTTTCCAATGAGTCTTGTAGTGATTTCTTTCTTACTTACTTTCTTTTTTCTTTTTTGGTGATTTTTTTTTCTTCAGCCAGAATGGATTAATTGCATTCCTATGGGAAATGGTGCTTCGACTTACAACCATTTTGAGTTACATCCATCTTCTGGAACGGATTATGGTCGTAAGTGGAGGCAGCACTGTAGTCCACTGGGAGGAAAATCTAAATCTTTTCCACTGCTCTTTGTGTAATGAGGACAAGTGCAGTGTTAGATCTTCCTGAATTACAGCAGAGTGAAGGAGACAGAACATGCTGAGAAGGGCCTTTTATTATCAGAGTTCTTACCTTCTCTACAGTGCTGGTGTTCATAGCAGAATTAGGATTCCCACCCTTGCTGAAGCTTTATGCAGCAAGCTTTATTCAAAGAATAAACGGAGACTACAGTGCATTCTTGAGAAAGATGCTAGTAGCTGCTGTCTACAGAAAGCTTAGAAGTCTATATACAGTATCTCTTTTATAGGATGGCAAACCTATTGACAGACCTGGTCCCAGTGTTCAAACTTGTCTGTAAAGACAAGGTGTGGCAGCCACTGCATG